GCTGGTAAATGGATGGAACTGAAGACTATCATGCTAAGTGAAATAAACCAGGCCCAAAATATGAAGGCCAAATGTTCTCTCTGATACTTGAATGGTAATACATAATAAGAAGGGAAGGGAAGGAAGAATAGAAGTTCATTGGATTAGATAAAGGGGAATGAAAGGAAGGGAAGGGGGTTGAGATTAGGAAAAATAGTGGAATGTACTGGACATAACTTTCTTATGTTAATATATGAATACACAAACAGCAAACTGCACATCATGTACAACCACAGAATGGAACATTCTCCATGTACGTGTAATATGTTAAAATACACTCTATTGTCATGTATACCTTAAAATTTAAAAAATTTTTAAAAATGAATAAATAAATAAATTTTATAAGAAAAAACACAAAAAAACACACACTTTATAGGAATTTGTATTTTCTAAAAGTGTAACTTTAGTTATCACTTTTTCATCAAGAGGAAGGGAAATTAAATCCTACCTGTAGGCAGGATCTTGGCTACTTGGCAAGTGATACTGCCTTCCATGCCCAAGCCGTAAAGGCTTCAGCCCATAGCTTTTGCCATAGCTTTCTTCCTTCTCTTAGGATGTTTGCTCTTGGAACCCATCACATGTCATAAGAAAGGCCAAGTAGGCCATGCTAGCTACACAAGTAAGAATTCTGAGCACAGATCCTACAGCCTCTGGTCAAGCTGCCCCCACTCACATTTCTTAGAACAGAGACAAGCTATTCCTGCCATTCCCTTTCTCAATTGCAAGTTTATACACAAAATAAATGATTTTTTTTAAACTCACAAGGTTTGGGGGTTGTTTTTTTGTGGAGCAATCAATAACCAATCAATAGATTTTGATAGCTGGGAATGAAGTGCTCTATAATGAAAACTTAAAATATGTGGCATTAACATGATGAGGCAGCAGGGAGAGGCTGGAAGAGCCTCAAAAAAAGTGACTGAAACACAGAAAGGGCCATGGAGGAAATCTGTGGAAGCCTGAAGGGCTATGGGAAAGTTGTTGATGAAGGCTTAAAAGAAAGAAAACACAATTGGAAACAGAAAATGAAGAGTATTTTCTCTCTACAGTCTTTTCCTTAGATGTGGTTATTTACTTATGGCAAAAATCAAAGGCTCTCTCTCTGTACATAATAGTTCATAGGTTCACACAGTGACATGATACCTTTCTAAGCCAGGAAGAGAGCCCTTACCTTCTGAACCCTGACGATGCTGGTACCTGAAGATTTCCAGCTGCCAGAATGGTGAGCAATCAAAATGATACAACTCCTACTTGTTTTGGGGAGGGATGCGTACTCTAAGAATTGAGTCAATACATCATGAGGAAATCCAAAAAGTCCATGGAGAAAAAAAGAGGCCTTCAGCCCATAGCTTTCACCAAGCTGTCAGTTTTATAGCCAACACCAACCTGCCAGCCACATGAATGGGCCAGGTTATCCTCCCAATGATCAATCCCAGTTCATACAATGTGGAATACAAACAAGGAATTCCTACAAAATGAATTCCTTCCAAACCTTCCAGATTTGAAGATTTGTGAGCAATATGAATGACAGATGTGTCACAGACTTTATCTCTTTTAAAAAGTCTTCCTCAAGCTTCTAGGTAAGATTCAATGTTCCTCTTTTCTGCTCCCAAAGCACTACTTGTGAAACGTTATCTTAGCACTTATTGTATCTATTGAATTTAATTGTTCACTTCTCTTCCTCCATGTAAGCTCAAGGGAAAGGCTATGCCTTTTGGGGATAATATCTCCTCAAATATATTTCTTTTTCCCCTTTTTTTCTATTTCTGAAACTCTTATTGAACATTCTTACATTAGATATGTAAGGACTTGTCAGTATGTATACTCCAAGTCTCAGCTTTTCTTTGATATTTGCTACCTCTTTTTCTCTCCATACAATGTTTTGAAAACTTTCCTATGGCCTCATATCCAATTTTCTAAATCTTCAGCTGAAACTAATCTGCTTTTCCATCCATCCACTGAGTTTTAAATTTTGAGTTTGTGTGTCATGGTTTTTTTTCCATTTCTTGAAGTTTACTTTGTCTTCTAAAATATGCCAGGTTTTTTAATTAATTTATTTATTTTAATTAGGTATATATACAGCAGGATGCATTTTGATTTAATGTATACAACTGCAGCACAACTTTTCATTCTCTGGTTCTACATGATGTAGCATTGCCGCGGCCACATCAATGTTCATAGCAGCTCAATTCACAATAACCAAACTGTGGAACCAATCCAGATGCCCTTCAATAGATGAATGAATAAAGAAACTGTGGTATATACACACAATGAAATATTACTCAGCATTAAAAGAGAACAAAATTAAGGCATTTGCAGGTAAATGGATGGAGTTGTAGAATACCTTATTAAACAAACTAAGCCAATCCTAGGTGACATTTTTAGCTTCTATTTCCCCAATTACATCCAGGCTTGTCTTTTCATTATAACATCATGGTCATATTATAGCGTGAATCTGAGAATTACAATATGTGAAGTCTTTTCAGGTATCATTATCTTATATCTATGTCTACTGGCTCCTGTTTGGACTGTTCTCTCTGTAGACTTAATGATTACAAACTTCTAATTTTAATGAGAAAATTATTTATAGGAAGCATTTAAGACCTAGGAACATAGTATATCCTTCCCTTCCTTCATTTATTTCTGCATAGTACCTGAGAGTATTGCTTAAAACTAAGTTGAAGAATTGATATTTTTTGGACCATCTAAGTGATGTGAATGTGGGGTGCAAATTTATATAAGTGCTACTTCATAGAATTAACCCTTCAGGAACTTTCCCTCTTGTTCTGCTCATGACAAATCTTTTTTTTTTAAGTTCCTAGAGTAGAGGATATGAGACAGGATTACTTCTCATTACTATGAGGGTATACCCTGGGAATAGCTCTATGGAGGAAGAATTTCATATGAAATTTCCTATACTGGATGGGTACAGAGATTTCCTTTCTGTACTGAAACTCACGGAAACTCTGAGCACCAACACTCAAGAGCAGACTCAGAAAATTCTTTGGGACAAAAGTGGCTTTATTGATACACTGGCTTCCCACATTAACTGACATTTTGGCCTGATTATTTCTTAAAAAGGTACTGATTAAAAAAAGTACCAAATTTAGATGTGATTCAGCTTGTTTAATTTTCCTGCCATCATTCAATGCTTTTAAAAAGTTTTCTTTTCTATATTTTTATTCAGCATTATTTGCTGCCCTCAGGAAAGTTGATCTGAGCCTAAATAAATAAGCCTTGTTTCCTGGGTCTGTGTCTTCTTCAGCTTCTTCTGCAGCTCACTTGAAGTTTATATTTTCCTCTTATAACATTCTTTTTCTAACTTTATAGCTCTTCTATGTGGACTTCCAGTATTACCTTCACATTTCTTGAGAATTTAAGCGCTACCCCCCCCATCCTCCAATATAATGCAGCACTATTACATAGTGTTTAAGAGCACAAGTCAAACAACTCAAGTTTAATGCCAGATCCTTCCATTATTACCTTGGGAGGCAACCTAATGTTTCAGTGCCTCTGTTTCCTCATCTGTGTGAAAGATGTGTGAATGATGATATTAGTACCTCACAACATTGTAAGAATAATATGAAACAATATATATAAGGCACTTAGAACAGTATCTGCCATACACAGTAAATACTCAATAAGTTTTAATTATCTTCACTACTAAAATTTTACCTAAAATATTCCTTCTGCATATTTATTATTCATACAACATGCAAGCTTCAGTACTGCTCAAAAAATTATAAAAATCCCCTAGCTTATTATCCATAGTGACTTTTCAGAATTTATTTCAACCCTTCTCAAGATCTCATTTTTTCTTTCATTCAGAACCCTTTTAATCTGATCCAGAGAAACTGAGTCCATTTGGAAATGCATATTTCAGAATTTCTGTACATTCACAATCATGTTCTCTACTTCAGGGGAATCAAAGTCTCTGTTTTCTTAGACTAGTTAATTCTTGACCTTTACCCATTTTGCTCTTTCTTTGCATTCACTATTTTCAATACCTTTCTCCACCAGAAAATTCTTCCTACCTCTAAACGCCACTGAGTTTTACTTATCCTAAAATAAACTAGCCGTTTCAGTCTCTTACCTCCTTTCCTCTTCCACCAGCATCAATATCTCTTGAAAGAGTAATCTGTATCCTCCACACCAATTTTCTTATTTTCCATTTCCCAGTCTCTCATTGTTTCCTTCCAGAAATATGATTTATCACACTTAAAATTTATAGCCCTCAAGTAAGCAGCAATTGGATTTCCAAACCAAAAAAAGTCACTCTTCAGAACTTTTCCCACAATTCCTTGTAGTAGTGAATATATTGATCACCAACTTGAAACTATACTCCTTCATTAGCTTTTACATAACTATCCTGCATTTGTTCTTAAAGGTAGTGGCAAATCAACAGAAAACGAATATGACGGTAGTTAATAATCCATGTTTAGGCACAAGCCTGAGAGTTACTGAGCTTAAATATGACATAGCTGCAATTTCCTTAGCAGCAAAATGTGAATAGTATTTGTCTTGCCTTATTCACTAGTTTTAATGTGATTAAATAATGGATCTAAAAATGCCATAAAAGATGTAAAATACTAAGTAAGCTAAGTGCACTTTGATAACTTAGAAACAGATATCCTACCAAAAAGTATATAGAGACTCTTGCTACCAAATCATCTATGAAGTTCTAAGAACCCAAGCTTTATATCTGACCAAGATTTTTCATCATTAAAAACTTTCAAAGTGTCTTCATCAAGGCAAAATCATCCCCATGAAGGGCTTTTATCTATAGTCAAAAGATTTCACATAAAACCCTAACTTACCTGTACTCACTTTAAAATGCAAAAATGATTACTGGGAGTGTACTGGAGTATTTTCATATTGATCATGTAATGTGAAATCAAAATAATAATATTCACTTATGTAAACATGCAAATTGAATTGGCCCAATTGTGAGTAGGGAATATTACCAGTTCTTGGGGAAGGTGCCCTTGCAATTTCTAAGGAACACGGTTTCTTTGTAACAGCTGTGTCCATGAGATCACATAGAAAGTTCTCATTTTCTGAAGGAAAAGTATCCAGAGAAGCAGATGGTACAATTTCCATAGTATAATTCCTCTTCTTTGGATAGGACTCCTGAAAAGGAGGGGGAAAAAAACAAACAGCTTTGTAATAAAGACATAAGTCTCTTTTGATTCACAAAAACTAGAAAAGATACTCAGATTCATCAGATCTTCCAAAAGTGATTGATATCTGGTGATTAATTTGCTTGAACTGTATGATCCAGCATCACCAGTGATGATTTTAAAAGCGATCTTCTAACTTAGTTTCCCTGAATTTGTTCCTGAACTAGTAAAGTCTTCCCTTCTTCTTGTAATGTATGAATTTTTTCTAGTTGTGGTACAAACTATTGTTTAATCAACAGTCATTTCAACTTTGCTTGCCTCTTAGAGATAGCCGCATGATGAAATATTGGCCATTTATACATAGCAGAAGTTTGATGGGAAGCTTTTAGGAAAATATTTTCCTCAGAGAAGAAGCTTATATGGAGGCATTTTCAGAGCTGAGGCTATATTCAGTCTCCTGTCTTGATGCAATTTTGTTCATAGAGCTGAGGCAGCATTTTCTGTCATTTAAAGTTAAAATTATTACCATCCAAAACACCAGCATTTTTCTGTGTGTACTGTTAATTAATTTACTAAGGTTACCCTTTTCAAGTAAGGACAAAATGTGGTCCAATTCTATATGTCAGATACTTCAAAGTACTCTAAAAATTGAAATTCATTTCATTTTTTATCAATTGGTCACCAAAATTGGACATTTTTCATATAGATGTGTGTGTGTGTGTGTGTGTGTGTATGACTGTGCTAAATATCAGAGATTTTTAAAAACAAATAAAACATAATCCTTGCTCTCAGGAGGTTCATAATCTGGAGAAGATACATTAATTGCATGAAGAATTTCAAAATTAATTATGATTTATCTTTTGATATTTGTTATCTAAATAAAGTTTATTTCAATACTGAGAAATAAATAAGAAACTAAACTCATATTTTCAAAATAAATCTTCCAAGATATATGAAAAGTTTGACAAAGATTTAGTATAAGCTCCTTCTTCTCTATAATGATATTTACAGTACAGAATTCAAGGTCAGTATAATTGCTTTCTGACCAAACCATACCCTCACACATCAAAGAGTCAATTATGTTCACTCTTCTCTATTGAAAGCAGGAAATTGGGAGTAATTTATTTTTAACAACAAAGAGTGACAAAGTAGAAAGCATCCAGAGGAAAGCAATCAGGATGGTATATGATTTTAAAACCATGTTAAACAAGAAATGATGAAAGGAACCATAGTGTTCTTCCACAGAAGCCTCACAGCCAGGATTGTTTCCTCAACATACTGAAAAGTCTCTCCCTCAAGAGCTGTCCTACAAAGGGAAGGGAAGGGCAGAGGTTGCTCTGGTGGATTTATCCAAAGCTTGTATGGCAAAATAATAACTAATGTTTATAAGTCAAATCAATGGATGTGTAACTGATGTGATTCTGCAATCTGTATATGGGGTAAAAATGGGAGCTCATAACCCACTTGAATCAAATTGTGAAATATGATATATCAAGAACTATGTAATGTTTTGAACAGTCAACAATAAAAAATTTAAAAAATAAAATAAAATATAAGTCAAGAAGGGCAAATTCAGTTTAATATAAAAAATAATATTTCATAAATTAAGAATATTGCTTATCTATTAAAATTAAAATGTATTGATAAATCATTATCCAACAAGTAGCATCAGAAACCAACAAAAGGAATGCCTCATTACTGAGGCATTATTATGGATTATCTATGGATAAAATTATCTATGGATAAAATTATGGATGAAACTATGCACAATGCCATAAGCCCTATAAAGGCTAAAATTTGTCTTGTACACCACACCACTGTATCCAAAGAAACAATACAGGTCCTTTCACATAGTAGGTGATCAATAAATATTTATTGACTAACTTAACAGTTTTAAGAGTCTTTAAGCAAATCTAACTACTGATTATGGAAATTATTATGACATTTTCAGACGCCCATGATTTTGTCTTTATGTTTGTTTGTTATTGTTTACTACTTTGCTTATCAAAGAAAACTGATACAGCTATTTGGGAGGCTGAGGCAGGAAATCTCAAGTCCAAGTCCAGCCTGTGCAACATAGCAAGACTCAGGGAAGGGAGTGAAAAAAACAACAATAAAATGGAAGAGTCTATGAAAAAAAGAGTCTGTAGCTAAAATCCTAATTTATCCTAAATTAAATTCATCAGAACAATGCATGGATTTGGTGAAGTTGAAATTTTACTATGTTTATGAAGAATTATAAGAATTTTTAAATCTTTGAAAACAACATTGAATTTAACCACACAGAATGGGCTAATTTACCTTCCCATTAAAATGTTTAATTAGGAAAGCTATCACATTCACAATAACCTCAAAAAATTAAATACATTGGGGCTGGGGTTGTGGCTCAGCGGAAGAGCACTTGCCTAGCATGTGCAAGGCCCTGGGTTCAATTCTAAGCACCGCATAAAAATAGATAAATAAGAATTTGTTTAAAAAATTAAATACTTTGGAATAAATTTAACCAAGAATGTGAAGGACCTCTACAATGAAAACTACAGAATACAGAGGAAAGAAATTGAAGAAGACCTTAAAAGATGGAAAGACTTCCTATGTTCTTAGAGAGGCAGAATTAATATTTTAAAAATGGCCATACTAACAAAAGTGTTACACAAATTCAATGAAATCCACCATAAAAATACCAATGACATTTGTCACGGAAGTAGAAAAATAGTTCAAAAATTTTTGGAAGAATGAGAGATGCAGAATAGTTAAAGTTATTCTGAGCAAGAAGAGGAATGCTGGAGGCAACATAATACTGAACTTCAAATTGTACTACAGAGATATAGTAACAAAAACAGCATGGTTTTGGCACAAAAACAGACATTCAGACCAATAGAATAGAAGACACAGAGACAACCATACATACTTAATCATCTGATATTTAACAAAGGTGCCAAAAACTTATGTTGGAGAAAAGATAGCCTTCTAACAAATGGTGCTGGGAAAACTGGATATCAATATGAAGAAGAATGAAACTTGATCCCTATATCTCTTCCTGCACAAAAGTCAAATCAAAGTGGAACAAAGATCTAAGAATTAGACCAGAAATTCTGCAACTGCTAGAAGAAAATGTAGGCTTAACACTCCAATATATTGGCACAGACATCGACTTCCTTAACAAGACTCCTAAAACATAAGAAATAAAACCAAGAATCTATAAGTGAAATGACATCAAATTAAAAAGCTTCTGCTTTTTAGTAAACAATAAAGTAAAATAAACAGTAAATAATGAAAAGTATGAAGTTATTCTAAGCAAGAAGAGGAATGAAAGATCTTTGCCACCTGCTCCTCATATAGGAGATTAATGCCCAGAATATGTAAGAACTCAAAAACTTAACATGAAACAACCAATTAACTCAATAAGTGGACAAAAGAACTAAAGAGACACTTCTCAAAGAATATAAATGGTCACTAATATATGAAAAATATTCAATGTCTTTAGCAATCAGGGAAATGCAAATCAAAACTACACTGAGATTTAATCTCACTCCAGTCAGAATGTCAATCATCATTTGGGTGAGAATGTGGGGGAAAAGGTACATTTATATATTGTTGGTGGAACTGCAAATTAGAACAACCACTCTGGAAAGCAGTATGGACATGCCTTAAAAAACTTGAAAGGGAATCACCATATGATTTCATATTTATTCAAAAGATCTAAAATCAGCATGCTATAAGGATGCAGCCACATCAATGTCTACAGCAGTGAAATTCACAATAGCCAAACTCGGAAACAGCCTAGGATCCTGTCAACAGATGAATGGATTAAGAAAATGTGATTTTAAATATATATATATATATATATATATATATATATTATACACACACATACATACACACACACACACACACACACACACATACACAATACAGTTTTATTTAGCCATAAAGAATAAAATTATGTCATTTGTTGGTAAATGGATGACTGCTAAGTGAAATAAACCAGAACCAGAAAGTCAAGGGTCATATGTTTGCTTTTATATGCAGAAGCTAGACCAAAATAAGGAAGAAAAGAAAGAAACGAAGGAAGGAAGGAAGGAGGAAGGAAGGAAGGAAGGAAGGAAGGAAGGAAGGAAGGAAGGAAGGAAGGAAGGAAAAGAAAGGAGAATCCCATGAATACAGAAGGGAGATCAATGGAGTAGAGGAAGGGAATTGAGGGGGAGGAATGAGGGATGGGGAAATGTAAGAACAGTGGAATGTATCTAACCAAACTTTCCTATGTACATATATGAATATACCATGGTGAATTTCACCTTTATGTATATACATAATGCATTAATTTTAAAAACTGTAAATAAATAGAAAACCATTAGTAGAGTAGAAAAGAGGTAAGAGTGGGAAGGAGGAACCAAGGGAAAGGCACAGTACTGGGGACTAAACTGGAGCAAATCATATTCTATGCTTGAATAATTATACCAAAATCAAGAACAAGATTATGTATATCTATAATGAACAATTAAAAAGGAGGTATATTTATTAAAGAAAATTAGAAAATATAAAGAAAGAAAAATATCACATGAAAATTGAGTATGCTGAGAAAACTAATGACATCTAAGAGCTATGAATTTCCCTCACAGTGTTTACCTCTGAAAGCATGTATGGATATATTCACAAAAGAAAAAAATATCTTAAACAGTCATGAAGTGCTCCTTCTTCTGCTCCCTAAGAAAGTGCCAAAATTTCTCATTGGAAGATAATTTTTGAAGTACAAGGCTTCCTGTGGAAAATGAGAGCCCACTTAAAGGAAAGAAGATAAAACACAAAAACAATAAATCCATACTTTTGTAACCAAATATTTCATATCACAAAAGAGGGTCATTCAACAAAATACCTGCCAATTATCCCTCAAAGGAGAATATGCTCAATAATAAAAAAAAATTAATCTATGTGTGCACACTACTTAGTTTCAAGGGATTGATCATTACCACTTAACTTTTGAAGCCCACCCTCACACCTAAACCACATGTT